CACATGGAATTTATTTGCATGAAAATTGTGAATTAAATATGTTTGATTGATTTAATTTTCAACTTAAAAAATATTACACTTGTCCTTTTTTATTGATATGTAGATGAGAGAGAGTTGATAGATGAGCGAGAGAGAGAGAGAGTGGATTTCCTGAAAAATAAAATCATACTTTTCTTATGTGCATTTGAATGCAAACATGAAATTTGCATAAAAAAAATTCTAAATAATTCAATTGTCTAGAATTTATTTGCATGAAAATTGTCAATTAAATATGTTTAATTGATTTACTTTTCAACCTAGAAAACATTATACTTGTCCCCTTTTTTTATTGGTAGGTAGATAAGAGAAGATGAATTGATGAGAGAAAGAAAGAGAGAGTTAATTCCCTGAAAAATAAAATCTTACTCCTCCTAAAGAAAATATTTTCCTTGATTTTGAGAAAAATATGGTATCAAAAGTAGGAAAATACTTTCCATGAAAAAAAATGACAATCAAACAGGACAAAACTAAGAATTTGAGTGAAAAATATATTTTTTATGAAAAATATTGACAATCAAATGCACCCTTGAAGAAAATATTTTTCTTGATTTTGAGGAAAATATTATCACGTAACCAAAAGTAAGAAAATTTTTTCCATGGAAAATAATTACAATCAAACAACACGAAATTAAAAATTTGGGTAGAAAAATACATTTTTCATAAAAAAATATTGACAATCAAATACATCCTATGATTTAATATAAATCAAAATCAATAATTACTTTTTATCACATAGTTTATGAAATTTATAATTTTTCAACTACACATTTTGTCCATTTTTATCAAAATCTATTAAAACTTTGATTTTAATGTTGACCAAATAAGGACATAAAATATTATAACTATGAAATTAAGCATTTTAATTATAGTATTAAGCATGTGTTTGGTTCAACTTAAAATTTATTAAAATTTAAATCAAAATAAAGAATTAATTTTAATCATGTATGTTATATGATCTATAACTTTTTAACTATATAAAACATGAAAGATGCGTTTAGTTGCAAGTATGAAATTTACATGAAAATAAAATAAATTTTAGGCAAAACTTATTAATTAAATGTGTTTGAGAGATTTGGTCTTCAATCTAGAAATATTACACTTGTTCATTTTTTATTTTGGGTAGATGCGACAAAGTGAATATATGAGAAGAAAAAGTGAATTGCTTGGAAAATAAAAATCACTCTTTTCTAAAGAAAATGTTTTTCTTGTTTTATCATGAAAATGTAGTCACATTACCAAAATTTAGAAAATATTTTTTATGAAAAAATTGTCAATCAAACACCCTAAAGCAAGAATTTGGGTGAAGATTGACTTTTTACATGAAAATTAAAGTTATTCAAACACTATAATTTTTATCAAAATTTTTAAAAATAAATTTTTTTATCTAAATTAAACAAGAACTAACAGCCTGTTTGTCACCTTTAAAAATTTAAAATTGTTTGCTATAATTTATTACTTTTTAACTATACATTCTCCAAAAAATACTATTTAAAACTCTTTAACTTTCCAAATAGTGGGTGACAAGCAGGGATTAAATATTCAAGACACTTAAGCATTGAAAAGTTATGTAATTATGTAAGAGAGGAAAAATTTCTTCAAGCTACAAATAATGTTCTTATCATCATCCAAAAAAACAATGTTCTTATTTAAGGGTGCGTTTGATTACAAGTATGAATTTTGCATGGAAAGGAAAAAAGTCTAAGTAATTCAATTGCCTAGAATTTATTTACATGAAAATTGTCAATTAATTGTATTTGATTGATTTAATTTTCAATCTAGAAAATATTATACTTGTCAGTTTTTTATTAGTAGGTAGGTAAGAGAGAGTGGATAGATGAGAAAAAGAGAGAGTGAATTGCCTGGAAAATAAATTCCTACTCTCCCTAAAGAAAATATTTTCCTTGATTTTGAGGAAAATATAGACACGTGACCAAAAGTAGGAAAATATTTTTCATAAAAAAATGACAATCAAACAGCACAAAAGTAGAAATTTGGTTGGAGAAAACACGTTTTTCATGAAAACGGGAGAATGAAAAAAATCCATATATATATATATATATAATAAAAATAAGAAAAGAATGTTGGAAATTTTGGATTTTTTAGGAGTTTTAAGAGTTGGATTTGACCAAATTTGGCCAAATATTATGGACTTAATGTTTGTGGTTAGTTTAGAGGCCAAATATTATTGGACTCATCAGTTTCAAATGAATAAGGAATTAATGCAGAAATTGGGTTTGAAATGTGAAAAAAATATTAAAATATAAAGTGGAAATTACACTTAACCATATCTTTTAAGATCCAATTTCATAAACCAGATCTAAAGTTTGTTTATACAAAAATCAAATATTGATTCAATATTAATAATAAAATTAATTCCCAATTTTCATACAAACTCTAAAAATCACTCATATTCACTCACTACCTCTCCCTCGTTTTCTCCTCAACATTCCCACGTCCTTTCTCTCGTCCAATGCCGAAACCATTGCCTTCATCTTCGTCCAGCGTCAGAACCACCTCATTTCTTAGAGGTTTTAAAATAGTGGGGATACAGTGGTAGCCATCAACTGGTTTTGGGAATTTTTCGTGGGTATAGTGGTTGTGGAGTAATGGAGATGGTGGTGGTGACGATGGTTGTTGGCATAGGTGGTGGAGGTGGCAATCTATGGTAGGCATTTACTGATTTGTGTGGTCTTTGTGTATGAAGTCGATTATGTGTGGTTGTGGTGGTGAATTGTTGGAGTAGTGGTGGTGCTAGCGGAGATGGCGAGGTGGGATGGGATGGCGTGGGTAGCGGTTCGTTGTAATACTGGTGATGCTCTTCACTGTTGCCCGTAGTCGATGGTGTACAGCTCTGATTTGGGTCGATCTGAATCTCTTTTTTGTTGTGATGTTTGGATGGTGGTGGTTGATGTTAGATGAGATTGTGATGGTAGTAGTGCGATGGTTTGTAGTGGCATGTGGTTCAAAAATCACAAGTTTTTTGGTGTGTTTCAATTTGTGGGTGGTGGTGGTGGTGCTCGCGGCGGTAGTGTTTGGGTGGCGATAGCTTTGTTGGATCTTGGTGGTGGCTGTGGTGCTTGAGATAATGGTTTTGCTACCCGGACTGTGGTTGTGGCTGTGGATTGATGGCGGTAGCCGTGTTGGTGGTGGTTACAAATTATTTGATTGATAATGACCATTAAATTGGTTAACCATAACCAATAAAAAAGATAAATTGTGATCTAAAAATTTATTAATCTGTGACCGTAAAATAATTTTTGACATAAAATTCTGATTTGTGATCAAAAAATAATAAGTGACTAATTAAATCGTTAATTTGTGATCAAATTATATAGATTTGTGACCTAAATATATTTAACTAGTAAATTAATTAATTAATTAATTAAATCATAAATAAATTTAAATAAAAATATGATTTTGAAGTTTGAAACTTATTTTCTTAATTTTGAAATGTGTGATACTTAAACTCTTATTTATGAAATTTCCCCAAAAATAAATTAGTGGAAAAAAGAACTCAGCCTTTTCCATATTTTAAAGTAATAGTCACTTGACCATATTACCGTATCCACGTCTCACACTTGACATCAACCTCAAAGGATAAATAATTGAAAAAAGAGTAGGAATAACAAAAAAAAAATTCATTCAACTGGATATTTGCAAATCCCGTCTCAGATGAAGTGGGGATCACCTGCCTAATCCAATAAACAAGATAGGAGTCGTTGTCCCAAAGTGGGCATGGGAAATATGATCTTTGTCCCTCTACCCGTCCCATTTAAAGTTTGTTTTAAATTTAAATTTTTATCAAATAAAAGAAAATTCATTATTTTTAAAAAGAATATGAGTTGTTTAACTAATTGAAAAAAATTAATATTCACTAATTAAAGACATAAAATAAATATAAATATAATAAATTAAGAAAAAAGGATGATAAATACTGCCCCTTCTTGATCCTGTTTGGAATTTGCCTCGTCATGCTTTAATCAAGTATGGGGGCGAGGCAAAATGATAAAAATACCTAACAAAGCAAGGGACGGAAATGACCGACCCATCCCATACCTCGCGTCATTGCCATTTCTAGAAAAGAGCATTGTCGTATGTAGGAAAGAAAAGTGATGTATTTTCATAAATTTGAAATCTAGAATTCTTACACACAAGTGCTCAAATTATAAATATATGAAATTTTAATTTTAATCACATATTCATTAGACACAAATTTTATTAAATTTTCAATCAAATATTTCATCCATTTTTATCAAAAATTGTTAATTCACTATCACATGAACTATTTAACCAAAATTTAACATTGTGAATATTACATATATTCAAATTTAATTCCGTTTCATGTATGGTTTTTAAGCTCATACACCTTAAGGGTTGATGGATAAAGTCTCAAATAAAAAGATTTATCACTTTCATTAAAAGTAATGTAACGTGATATTAAAATCAATTGTTGACTCTAAATTTAATTTTTTAGCAAATTTTTAAACTTCCAAATTAGTATCAATTATTTTCCTTCCATTAATCAATAAATTTATTATTATGATATTGAAAATCAATTAAATCTATTTTATTTCCTTATCTGATACGTTACCTAGTTAATACAACGAACAAATCTTATCTTATTTTCCCTTATTTAAAGGTCATTAATAGTAGGACCAATAAATTTACAGTCAATCCAAATTAAATTCATTTAATTTTATTTCCTTATTACAAATTAATTATCTAATGTATTTGTCAAAATTAAATTGCTATTTTATTTTATTTTTTGGTGCAAAATAATAATATGGCCACGCGGGTATGATTCAACGATTATTATGGCTTAGATCGCATCAAAGACGGGTGGTACACTACACCGCGTAGCACTGAAACCTTTCCTGATATTTAAAATAAAAATGAAAAATCAGAAAGACAATCGTTTCATTTTCCAATTTGATAATATATTTAAATTGCCTGTCTGGATAAAGATAAAGACTTTCGCTGACCATTATCCTGTTTTTCAATTCCTCGTCCTCTCTCAAGAAGTTTCACTTTCTCTAACTAATACGTATCTATATATTTTCGAAACGGTGTCTACGGTATGTCAATCGCGTTCGAGAGAAATAACTCCGGCAACGATCGTCGGGTCGAACGGCCGGGATTAGCTTGCCACCAGATGAATTTTGTATGCCCTATGTATAATTCGGAGGATTGTCAGGCAGCTGATCGGAGTCCAGATGAAGTGGAGCAACTGGAGGAGGAACGGACTGATTCTGTATCGTCGTCATCGACGTCTTCGATTGGGAAGAACAGCGATGATGAGGTGTCGGGCGATGGCGATGGTGACGGCGACGGCGAAGGAGAAGAGGTGCAAAGTGAATACAAAACAGGGGCCCTAGAGAGTTTGGATGCTTTAGCTGAAGTTTTGCCAGTAAAGTATGTGGCTTTTTTTACTCTTTTATTTTGATGAGAATTGCTGATTTCTAACTGTATTAGTTTAGGGTTTTGATTATGATGTATTCGAATGTGTGTTAAATTTGATGTATTTTTTGGGTAGAATTTTTGGTGGTTTAGGGTTTACTTTATTCCCTTTTTGTTTAGGGTTTTGTTGGTTAGTAATTACTTGAAGAATCCACAAACTAAAGGAAATTTTCTCAGAAACACAGGAATATTAAAGAAAAAAAAACTTTTTCCAATTGTGTGGGATTTGATTGTGTGATAATCACACAATCTATCCTTTTAAAGTTATTTATAGTCCTTTAAATAGGGTCTTTGTAATAGAAACACAAGTTTATTATATACAGTTTATAATATTCTAACATGGTATCAGAGTAGGTTTAGCATTATTCTGAGTTAAATTTGTAAGCTTTTGTTCTCTGGTGACGGCCTCTTGCTGCTCAACTTTTCTTGTTTTGAGCGAATATCCACGTTTACTCAAATTCTTTTTGTTTATTCTATCCCATAAAGTCTTTTTCTGTTCTTGATTTAATCTGAATTTTGACTTCGGATTAATTCAAATCCTGTTAGATATTGGCTATTCTTGTTGCTTACTTCTTGGAGAGTTGATTTTCGAGTAAATCGAGAGTTATAAATTTATTTTTTCATCGAATTTATTCCCATCACATTTGTTGTTTTAGCAGCCTCGTGTGCCAAGGCTCTTGTTTCATCAGTATTTCCTTCATATATAGGTATAGTATTGATACTACCCACGAACTTTGGAGTGTTACTATTAAAAATGGTCTATTTTTGCCTATCTGGTTATTAAAACCATTTGAGGTTCTTGTTTTGACCTTGTTCATTATACTTGTGGATTTCTCCTTTCAAGTATTGGTGATGGTTTAGTTAGATTGGTGGATAATGATTTTTCATTCTTACCAACTTTGAGTTCTTTGTTCGGCTAAGTTAGCATACAGGCAATTTTGAAGTATCATTCAATCCTTGGAAGATGAAAATTTGGTTTGATTAATTTAATTTTCAAACTCAATTTCATTGTCGCTACACCATATTGAGTTTGAGGGAGGGTGTTGAAGATATGAAAAGATTGTAAAGAATAATTTCTATGATATTTTTCCAGTTGTGTGAGATTATTTTCCTTGATAGTTGATTGTGTGATTATCACACAATCTTTCATTTTAAAGTTATTTATAGCCCTATAAATTGGGTCATTTATTTTGTAATAGAAACACGAGGGTATTATATACAATTTATAATATTCTAACATAGGTATCCATCCTCCTCCTCCAGTATGACATCTTTCTCGATCTAGAAGTTTGAACACAGCTTTTTTGCACTATGCATTAAGAAGGCAATTGGGAATTTTTCTCTATCCAAAAAAGTGAATTTACCAAGAATTATCTGATATTAAATGCCCCAATTAATCAAAAGCCACTGACTTTTACTGTCCCTTCAGCTATACGATGCGTGTAGTTGTATGAGATGATTAAATAGGTGGTTGACATGTAATATTTAGTGCATTGGAAGCACTTTCATGTTCTCTCTTCCTGTCTCTATACACCTCCATCTCCAACTTGGCAAGCTCATGTTCCCAAGGTAGAGTGGAATTCACGAGCATCAGGAGTTTTGTTTGTCAATCGATCTGAAAACTCTCGCTTTCTGCTTCTCTTTCATTGGTTTTGAATTTGGTAAGGTGTTAGCAATGTCTCCTGTGAGGTTTCTCTCTTTATTTTGCACTCTTTAAAATTTTCTTTATTGTTTGTTGAGGATTTGCTTGTTGAAGTAGCTGTATATCTGGCTTAAGATCTTTGGATATACTCTATGCTCATTTCATGGCTCAGGCTCACACCAAGATGCCGACATTAGTATCCAAGTATAAGAATCCATTTGATGTACCCTTGACTGCTTGATGGTGCTATTCTTCTGTGTGAATAGAGTATGATTTTGTGACTGGTGTTATTACGAATTAACATGAGAGCATTAGAGTGGTGGTCCATTTTCATGTTTCCACTGCTCTGTTTTTTTAAGGTTTTTCCCTCATATATCCTAAATCATTAGAAGTTTCTGACAGATAATGCATAAAAGTAGAGTGGGGGTGGGATCATTTAGTAGATATGTATTTAAAATGATTTTGACTGTTAGATATGCAAATTTGGAAATCTTTTACGGTTTGTAAGTTGATAAAATTCAGCCTGATAAGACTAGTAGATGAGAAGTGCAGAAACTATTGAAGCTGTACCTGTATTGGGTCAAGATTGCCTTCTTAAGAAATGAAGGCAAGCTTGTAGTGCTTTGTTTCTTTGTCTGGTTTAATATATTGCACTGTGCTCATGAATATTTCTTTGTAGTGGTGTAGTGGCTTATCATAATTGAAACCATGTTTCATATTTTTTCCATAACCATAAGAGAAGCATTATATTAGAGAGGTTGACTTTCATATTGTTATTCTGAGACCTAGAAATCAGACAATTTAAGTTCTTTAAATAGTTTCTGTCAACAGATTATGTTCTGTTTTCTTTTTTACCTATATCTTTCTGCTAATGTTATCTTAATTTATTTATTTTTTAGGTTGTGTTTTGGGTTGGGGGGGCGGGTTACTCGTCTTGAGAAACTGTTTTCTAGGTTTTAAATTCCTGGATCTGTCAAAACATTCTTCTGCTGCAATTTTTCTTCTTGCTCTCTTAAAACCGGGTGGAGGTTATACTTGACTTTTTTTTTTTTTTTTAATGATACAATTTCCTGATGGCTTCTGTGTTCACTTGTTTCAGGAAAAGTATTTCGAAATTCTACTGTGGTAAATCTAAAAGTTTTACCAGTCTATCCGATGTTATATCATTGTCCTCCGCAAAGGACATGGTTAAACCAGAAGATGCTTACACTCGTAGACGCAAGAACTTGATTGCACACAAGTACTACCTGGACAAGAATTTTAGTAACATTTTAAGAAGCAACAGTGGTGGCATATCGAAAAGATCTGCCAACTCTAGAAGCACATTGCACCTTGCAGCAAACATGAGTAATAACAGCAGCGCTTCTAGCTCGTATTCAACATCACCTAGTCGCTGCCTTCCTCCTCTACCACCGCATGCAAGAAGACCCACAAATTGTGAATCTTTATCATCATCTCCTGATGAGAAGTTCAGATCATTGCGATCTTTCTCTTTGTCTGATTTACAAGATGCTGATGCTGTGAGTCCAAGCGTTACTGGCCTATTGGTCGACAAGAGAGAGAAATAATGCAAATCATGTAGATCTTTCCATCCCTAGTAGTTCATCGAGGCGAAGACATGCATTGTTTAATGGCCATTAAAGTTATTATAGTAGTCATACTTTATCCTCTGTTAATGAGTTTTGTTTAATGTATTATTACTATTTTCTTCTCTGACTGCTGTTCTTGTATATCTCAATGAAATTTTTGCAAAATCAGAAAAGACACCCACCATGTCGTCTTCTTCTCTCCATGAAAGTTGTTATCTGTTTGACATACCTTTTTTGTTGTACTGTTATTTTCGCTGCTTATTAATTTTGTTAGAATATCGAGATCTTACTCGTTCGAACATTCTGTTGATTTAAAATTACGAGTCTTATGAAATTATGAAAATTTAGAATGGAGCATATTGCCTGTGACTTTAGAACTATTTTGTGTGGTTTGATTGTGTTTTGTGCAATTTTGGCTGTTCTGTCTGTGAAAATAACAACTCACAATTTTGATTTGGGGATTTTTAATAGAAAATGTGATTTTCAATCCGGCAACAAAAAATGGAGGGTATTTTGGTCCAACAAAAAGTTTCAAAAGTCATTAAAGGCAATTTTTCAACTGATTTTTCAAACGAACAAAAGGAAGAAGTTTATGAGTTTGCTTATACTTCAATTATTCTACACTTACTTGACGTCGTTTTGAGAAATTGGGTAAATTGAAAATCATCAAAGAACTTTGAAAAAACTTGAAAGATCTATATTTGCTCAAATCTACACCGAACGAACTTTACTTGCTTGAACGTTTTTTCAACTTTAAAATGTATCATTCAAAGGTTCTCGATGACAATTTAGATTTGTTTAACGAATTTGTGTAAGATATTGTTAACTATGATGAGGTTGTGTTTGAAATCTACAAAATCATAATCTTGCTCAATTCTATTCCTGACTCATATAAAGAAGTCAAAAACGCAATTAAGTATGGTAGGGACACTTTGACGTCTGAAATTGTCATAAATTCTCTTAAAAGTAAAGAGATGAAAATTAGGGCTAAAAAACATTATAGGAAAAGCGGTGAGTTGCATATGATGCGGGATAGAACTCAGTTTAGGTAAAACAGTCAGGATAAATACCAAAGTAGTGGCGAGTC